AGATGGGCAGATAATGAGTGGAAGTCGACAGTAATCCCTGCTGTCATGTGGAGATTTTTGGAACTAGGTCAGTTAGCTCAACTTTAGTCTATCGTACGGAAGAGTGGGTAGAGTATAATTCGAACTTTACAGCTTCATTTACCTAAAATGTTTAAATTGACAAGTTGAACTTGTTAGAGCAGTAAGAAAAATACTTTCTCTTTCAGGTAAGGCACAACATCAGGCCGTACTTCCTGGTGTCTGACTCATACAAGGGCATCTATGATGTGATCACGTGGGCATGGACTCAGGTGGCCATTAGTTATACAGTGGCGCCATTTGTGCTACTTGCAGTAGGACCCTCACTCAAGTTCTACAGGTACGTCTATGAGCTTCTTATACACTGTGGAGTAGGAGACACAATGTCAGCCTTTCTTATTTTAAAAAATACATTCATTTTGCGAGCAATTCTGTTGTGTGAGATTACCGTGGTATTGTAGCAAACTTAAACTTTATTATTGTTGTAGTATTAAAAATGTAAATGAAATTGTTGCCCGTAGTGTTGAAATTTACATGTTTTTATTAGCCTGTCAGGCGGTAATGGTTAACGAGACAGCTTTATGATTGAAGGATGAGGAGGAAATAAAACAAGTGACCTTAACATTGACCAGTTGCTGCAAAGAAATTACGATCCAAACATCAACAACAGCTGCTAGACAGGCAGTAAAGAACAGACACTGTAGTAGTGATGTGCGAATCATGAATGAATCGTTCAATACTCGAGAATCACTTTACTGACTCGTGACTCATGATTCACAAGCCCAACTGACACACTGACTCATCCCTGTTGCTATTAGCAAACTAATTTCATTAGTAGAAATATATCTAGCTTATAATTAAAATTGTGTGGGGGAAAAAACCAACAGCCAGTTTCTTAACAAAAACATTTCTGCTCTGAACTGGAAGAAAAAACTCTGAGCAACATCAAGATAATAGCTCCTTGGTTCACAGTAGCATCGCTCTGCTAGCATGCTAACAGCACATTTGAGTTACTCACCCCCTCCCTCCTGTGCTGAATCATAGCATGAACGAATCACTCACTCACTCACCCCCTCCTCAGGACTCACTCACCCCCTCCCTTTCCTGTGTTGAATCGTAGCATGAACGACTCACTCACCCCCTCCCTCCTTGCTCACAGCTTCGTCTTCTTCTTCTTGGTTGGCAACCAATGTTAAGAAACATTACTGAGCTGCAAATGTCATAAACCCATAATTTATTCACAATAGAGTACAGAAAACGTATCAAATGTTTAAACTGAGAAAATGTACCATTTTTAAGAAAAATATTAGTTTGTTTTCAATTGGCAGCAACATTTCTCAAAAAAATTGGTAGAGCCATGTCTTGTAGCAGTCTATGAATATCCTGGAACTGAGGAGAGCCGGGCTGGACTTTTGGGAGAAGATTGTCTCATTTTTCAGTCCCGGGTCTTCATTTTTGTATTTTATGTCTGTGATGCGCCAGATGTTTTCTGTTGATGAAAGGTCTGACTGCAGGCAAGCTAAACTGGCTTGTTTGTTTGTTTGTTTACTACAAAGTCATGTTGTCAAACATGTGCAGTATGCAGTTTACTGTTGTCTTGTTAACAACATTCTCTCTCATCGATGTTTTCGCAGGACTTGGTACTTTGGGTTACATCTTCTATGTCTGCTGGTGGTCCTGGCCCTACCTGTCAATTCGAAACGCCGGCAGGCCAAAGAGCAGCAGGACGACCTCCAGAAGGACAACCAGACAGATCACAACAGCACAGATAACAACTGCAACCAGAAAGAAAAGACCACATGAGGGTCGGGACGGTGACGCGCCGCCCCTTCAGCAGCAGAAACACTGAGACGAACTATAAACTACTGAAACCTGGAGTGTGTTGAGTCTGTTTACCTGACAAAGAACCAAATATCTCCTATCAGACAGAAAACGCAAGTCTACATCCTGGCAAAAACTTCCAGTAGCAAGGCTGACAGCAATCACACTTCTGACATGGATACAAGACCAAGGTGAAGAAATGGCCAAGGTGTAAACTAATGAGCGGTAGTGGTTACTTTACAATACATTAGTGAAAACGAACACCTCCAAGCTGCCTTAAACCCTCTGTGTACTTTAAAGGTGAAATAACAGTTTGAATGGCACGCTGCAGGAACCTAAATGCAGTTACACCAGTGTGGTTTCATGTAAGGTAAACAGATTTAAAGCGCAGTATGTGGAGGGTTTTTGTCATTGTCTGGGTACAAGCCTCTGTTAGGTGGCAACAGAAAACCGTGTACATGTAAAAGAAACATAACCTTTATCATCAGCTGCCAATTTCAAACAGGCCTTAGGATCCTCAACATATTGTTTGAGTTCTATGTCTTTTTTTTTTTTTTTTTTAATCTCTATTCCAGAAGAATTCACATCGTGTGTGTTTTGTACTTAGATGTTTGTGACGACACTAATTGAAATCCATTCTGAATGCTCTTTTGTTTTTTGTGGGATGACTTGACTATGCCTGAAAGAGAGAATCTCAAAGTGGAATTCAGATCTCATTCCTCTCCAGTCTAAAAGATTTAATAACTGGATATCTTTTTATATTTTTCATATCTGCTGCTTTTTTTTTTTTTTTTTTGTTGGGCAAAGAAGACTCATCTGATAAATGTGTGTTTCAAAGGGAGTTTGTTTACCCTATGGTAACTTAGAATACCTTTTAAGGCTTGTTGACTTGGGGTTCAGAATTTTTTATTTTTTATTTTTTAATTTCTGCTGATATTTGTCTCATGACAGGTTTCCTCTGTGTTCAGTTGTTAAAACAAGTATCCAAAATGATTTAAATTAACAGAATTCCTACAGAATTTACATCCTTCTTGAGTTATTTGTGCAGTAATTGTCTTAAGTCCTACAAACGCAACAGAAATCTAATCAGATCACCGCACTGACTTAGAAATAAAGTGTCAAATGGTCCATGCACAGTGCATAAAAGCACATAAAGAAACCAGTTACAGTTATATATGTATGTGACTTTATAGTATTGTACAAATTTCAAACACATAAGCCAGCTGTTGTGGTAAATGGTCTTATTTCATATTGTGTGCACTTAATGTTAGCCTAGGGGATGTTTCAGCATTTGCTGTATGGTGTTCCTGTTTCCTCATGTTGTTTTGGTCCATGGCTCGCCTTATTAGCCTTCTAGAGTCCCCCAGTTGGACCTTATAACAGCGACTGCTGTGATATTTTTCTGAAATCATTAGATCGGATTAATGAATGATGTAGTTAATGAAAACATGGTGCAGAGAGGACCTTTTACAAGGCACCTCGCTGCTCTGTGAATAATAGTGACACATAAATGTACCTGTAAGAGGAAGATATAATCTTGGGATTTCAAAGCCCACAACATCACTTTGAAATTATGCTTCCTTTTTTTTTTCTTTTTCCAAAAATCATTCTCAATAATTTAAGTTAAACTGATGCATTCGTTTCCTGTAAAGTAGTAACAAAGCAGCAGAGATGAGTTGGGGATTTTTCTTTCTTTTTTTTTTTTGGTTTTTAAGACTAAGATAACACTCGCATTTTCCTGCCATAACTTTGTGTGTGTGTACCAGTATTCATGTGACCCGTTGATGTTGATGTGAACTCGACTTCACTATATTTGTAGCCTGGGCCCTGTGTAGGCGAGAGCGGCCCACCCAAGGGGAAAGGGATGTCATTGTTCAAAAACATAGCGATTATTGCACTGCATGGCCACCCAAACCAGCAGATCAATGCAAACTGCTCCATATGTCCAAAGTGCCAAATCATAAATGGCGCATTTTGGGGTTTTTTTCTTTTGTGTATAAGTGGGCCTGCGTGTGTGCGCGTGCCTGTGGAACATATTGGTTATTTTTGTGTCAGAAGGAAATTTATTGAAAGATTTGTATAACAGTACATTACAATTCTGATTTATGTGGGGGAATAAAGAGAACTTATTTTTAAACACTAACACTGCCATTATGTCCTAAATGATTTGTTTTTGTCCTGTTAAAAAAAACGAAGTAATTTGTTTTTTAAATGAATGCAAACACTAGTACAAAAGGGCTTTAGCTGCATATATCACATGTGCATATAACATTAACCTCCTAGGACCTGCCGTCCACATATGTGGACATTACATCATGGGTTATTTAGACCAAAATACACAATTTTGCTCTACAAGGGTCTAATATCCACTTACGAGGACATTATACTGCTACTGTTCTATCAAAATTAGTTTTTTCTTGAAAACAAAAATAAGGTAAAAAAAATTAATCTGGTAATTCTTTGTTTTTACATTCATTGGGCCCCAATGTGACCAAATATCAAAGAGAAATTAAAAAAGCATGTCGTGGAAGAGTTCAGGTCTTAGGAGGTTAAGATTCTTGCATGTTAAAGAGGAAACACGAGTAGAATCATTAAAATATATTTATCAATTGGGTTTTTATCTTTTATTGATTTTTGTCTCTTTTTTTTTTTTTAAAACAATACTTGACTTGTGTGGATATATCCTTCATCCACCCAAAGTCAAAAAAATGGGGCAAACAAAAGGGAATGGCCTTATTTTCTGCTTTGTAGTGTAACAAAATTGCCATCATCATTAGATTATCCATCTACTGCTCCATGCACATCATAATGGGAATTGAGTACAAATTGGGGGGAGTATCCAGATGCTTTACTCAGGTTCAGCATTTATATTATACTTTAATAGGCGACCAAAGAAAAAGCTAAATATTTTTCTTTATATCAACAGAATTGCCTAAAAGCCACGCACAGCATGTAAGCTTTGTGCTTAAAGCTTATTTTAACTACTTGTTGAATTCAGAAAAATATTTTGTTGTGTTTTTAAACTCAGAACCTATAAAGTTACTGTTAAAACTGTAAAATTAATGTCGTACAGTAAAAACAAATCCCACCTCCCCGCTTTTTCCCCCCCTGTTAGTTTTCTTGCCACATGTTACCCTGCTGTACTCTTGGGTGCGAGGAGGTGGAGTCTTACTGTAGCAGGTCGAGGCTCCTCTGTCAAATAGAAGCAAAGATATTATGGCTTAAAAAACGAAGACCTTGTGACTGGATTATCTGGACCGGAATTAAAATACAGAGCAACCCAGCGTAGGTAAGACTACTTTAAAAAATTGTTGGTGTACTTTTCTCCAGCTTTTTAGAGGAGATAAAAATAAATAAATAAAAATGTAGGGACCTGTTGGAAAGCTAACGCTAGCCTGTTAGCCCGTTTCCAGGTTTGGCTAGCTTGTGTTTTCAAGTTGCTTCCTAGTGATAGTGAACGGGAAGTCGCTGCTGTGTTTGCAATATCGTGTTTGCAAAAGACCTTTGTCAAGACACCGGAATAACCGAGCCACACTATTTCTAAACTTTTCTTCGCCTCGTCACATTTAAAGCCATGTGATTATATGCGCGTCATACAGATGTTCTTTTTTTAAGAGTCATGGGGGTCAGAGCAGTGAACGCACCATAGACTTGGTGACTTTATATTATACACCGTATCAACATCGTTTAAATGGCACGATGTTGATACGGTGTCAGTTTGTTGTGTCCATGAACTTTGTGCACGTTGCAAAGCCCACAGCCAAGCAGTTTAAGACTCTGTGTGTATCAAAAACATGAGACAGTTTTTGCTTATCCATATGACATTAGCAGACCCTGGTATGCATAAGGGAACTGAATCCTCAGCAGTTTCATACCCACATGACTGGTCATAAAAAAGCTGACAGGTTAAATTTAGAGACCCTATCCAGTGTTGCTTAGTTCCCTTCTAACATTTGAATGCGTTCAGATAACCAAACAGCTGACGTGGAGTTTTATTTGATGGTTTGTGATGTTAGCTAGTGCTCTGTGTTTTTACATAAACACTATAAATGTCATGTTTATGTCAGTTTTCCAGCTGGAAACAAAGAGAATTGGGTTGCAAGTAACAAGTGTTTTCATTACTGATTAGAATTTATTATTTTCTTGGTCGATTTGACTTTTGGACATTAAAATGCCAGAAAACCGAACTTCTAAAGCCAGTTTCTTGTTTTGTCAGGGCAGCAACACAATTTATTTGATAAATTGTCACATTTAAGAATGGGTTAGAAAATAACTTGCAGTGATCGACTGATTTATTTGGTAATCCTTTGTTTTTCTTTATTTTTGTATCCAGAATCCTGTGTGTAGATCATTTTTATAGCACTAATTCACTTTCACAAGAACTGTGTTCATTTTCATTAATAACAGTAAATTGTTTGGTTTTCTACTATATTGTTGGGTGATTCAAAGGGTTAGTTTAATATTTAATTTTAATTGATCAGCACCTGAGTCATTGTAAACACTGTGATTATAGTGATACTAAAGTGACAGCTCCCATGCTACTTTATTGCATTATCTGTAAAATTAAGTCATACAGATGAGTCCAAACATCCTAATTGGCCTTTTATCTTTATCAGTCGGTGCCAAGCCATTGCATGTAATGAATGAATATCTGGTCGTGTGCCTCTATTGTGTTGGGTGAGGATGGGCGTAGGCCAGCCCCCTCATCTAATATTCAGCTGTTTGTAAAAAGGGGGGGATGCTGAGCCTGAGCCTGGCAGTGCTTGTTGAAACTGTGTGCAGCTGAGCAGAGAACCACTGCCAGTTTTACCCTTCACGAAGGTAAGAGTTTCTTTTGTAGTAATGTTTTCTGGAGATTGTAGGTCTTATTTTCCCTTCTTTCTCCAGCAGCTTATTTTTGATGTTTTTTCTTTCTTTCTTTTTTACTGGTTTATTGTCTCTGAGCTTTAGTGTGCATGTTTTTTGTGAAAAAGATGCGACTGAGCTCCACTCTGATCACTGCTGAACAGGGAGAGAGCGCTTAATGTTTACTGATTGGTTCTTGGGTGTATTTGTCCACCCATTATGCTGAGAGGCAAGAAGCTGGGGAGGGTGTGTCAACAGGCTCCAATTGCTTTGACTGTAAACAAAGGATTTTTTTTCTCACCTCTTCCTGGCACTGTCTAATATGGGCAAATGGTTACCAGGCGATCCCTGACTGAAAATATAAAGAATTCAGAAAAAAAGGTTAAATATTTGCATTGATTGGTTACTCTGCATTTGAGTAAACTGCCAGGCCTTTGTACTGACAGCCCAAGAGGCATGTGACATTTGAGTGTTTATTGACCTGAGCTTGAGCTGCTTGTCTGAAGGATTATGGTGAAATATTGAGCCGTATATAAAGCCCATTGCCAGGGCAACTTACAAGCAATGAATGGAGCTGATTAATTCTTTGTTACTGTGGCAGGAAGTAGGTCTGACCATTAGGAAAGAGCCCAACTTGATGAATGATTAATGAGTGCTTTTATCGATTGGCTGAATCCCTAATTCCTGTAAAAACCCCTTTCAAAAGAAAACATCTTTTAGGGGCTTTTTCTTGTCCAGATGTATTATACAATACATTTCTGGGAGTTTTGTGCAATTTTATCTTAAACTGGGAATATCTTTTCTAAATATAGAGTAAGTCAATACCCAGTAGTTAAAGTGTCAAAGAAAAAAACAAACCTTGGCCGTCCAGTTAAGGTAAAAAGGCTTAAAATGACTCAGTAAATTTAGAAACATGCTTGTCTCTGGGTTTAGGATAATTCTTGAGAATGGTTCACTCCAATTATAGATAATCTCGCTCCAGTGGGTTATGTGCATTGATTTGTCATATAGTCACTGCGTCTTACTGCTTTTTTCCTATCGGTGCTAAAGTACTTTTAGGGAGAACTCTGCTTTTTTCTTGTGTACAAAAGTTCCGCAATGTCCAATTTCAGGAAGTGGAGGAGGGTAGAAAAGGCTGGCTCTGATATAATTGGAGCAAACAGTCGAGTGCACCGATTGTCCTAGCCTTTATTACATCAGAGAGTCAAAGTTTAAAGACTATTGTTTGTCTTCATTGGTATTTGATGGCTTGGTTAACTATCTTGAGCAGAGCTTTGTGATTGCTCAGCCTTCATTATACTGAGTGGACAAATTTCAGTCAGTGTTTTCAGCCTCAGCAGATAGACTGAACGAAACTGAAGAGAACTAACAGCCCCTGCTCATCCCTGTGTAATAAGCTTGTTTAATAGATTGTAAGTATGGTTATAATGATACTTTAACATGATATTAAAAGATTTGTAATGACCTCTGAAATGCACGCTCAAAAAAAATTGTCCTGATAATTTGTGATCGATAATATAGTTGCATTAGAGTGGATATTGCAACATGTCGAACACACACTTTTTATATGTGTGTTTCTTAAATATTATACTTTAATGTGTACACCATCTAGTTTCTGCTGTATTGTTATTGCTTGTATGTATGCATGCAAGTTGGGGTTTGGACAGTGGTGATTTATTCCACTGCATCACTTCAAAGGCACACCACACCTCTTCCCGGTCACGATTTTAACTTCTTGTTTGTCTCTTAGAAGTGCTGTATATTTAGCTGCACAGGCCACAAAGCTATTGTTGTGCTCTTTAGCTCATTGTGAATGCTGCTTTTGCTCTCATTCTGCAGGGGTGTATAGCTGGTTAGCTGTCAACCATGGATACCAGCACGTCCCTAAAGATGACCTCTCTGGCTGTCCAGAGTCTGTTCAGCTATGTGGACGAGGAGAACCTGGCTGCCATCAAAGCGCATTTGGACATGTTCACGGATGTGGACAGCAGGAGTGATGTAAGCCACATCACAGCAGCCTTAATGTTGGCTCTAGAAGTTCAGGGAAGAATAAGCAGTAATTAAAGGCTCTTTAAAATAACTTTAGTTGGTGTTATGTAGGAAAACTGAAATCCTTCTGTGTGGAGTTTGTGTCCTCTTCCTGTTCAAAAACATACTTGTTAGGTTAATTGGTGATTCTTGGCTTTAGGTGAGAATATGAATGGTTGTTTGTGCTTGCCTTATGAAGTGACCTCTCCAGGCTGTTTCCTATCTCTCACCCAAAATCAGCTTGGATTGGCTCCAGCTAGTAGCTAAGAAAATGAATGGATGGATGAAGATATAGTACTCATAAAACATTATTATGTTATTATCTTTTGCGTTCTTAATTATTTTAGATAACATTTTAGATATCTCTTGTCGCTGCAATTAAAAGGTCAGCTACTGTTTTACAACAGTAAAGAAATTGTTTATTATGTGCACTTAGTACTCATAGGACGTTATTGCAGTATACCCTGAAAGACACAGAGGGATAGAGCTTAGAAGGGAATATAAACATCCGAGGCGATTAAAAGGTAATGCAGTATCTCCACACTATGTGTACTGTACACTGTACGATTGTAGCAGCTGTAAGTAGCCTGATTCCTGTATTTGCAACATATACAATCTTAAAGGATAATGCCAGTGAGATGATATTTTGTCAAGAAATCCTACAAAAAGACCACAACTCCAAAACTGAACCGATCCTACTACTAATAAGTATTTTCATGTAGCCAAAATCTGATTGTTGCACATTGCTGTTTGTTTCCATGTTTGTCTATATAGGTGCTGTAGTTTATGCACAGTGCTTGTATAGACACCCTCTTGCTGTTGCTGTAATTACCACAAAGTGTTAAATTTCATGCAAATGAGTCCCGAGTTACATATAGGAGCATTTACCAAAAAAAAATAGAGCACATAGCAGGTTGTTAAAAGATTAAAGAAATAAAATTGTGCGGCGACAGACAGTCTGGTACCCGAGTAGAGCAGATTTTGTAATTTTAGGCTTTACATGAATTTGTTGACAAAGAAAAATTGAGACAATTCCAGACCTCTCCCTTAATGTGGAAAATATCAAGCAGCGTGTAGACTTGTATGGGACAGTAATCAGTTATGTTACTGTACATGATTAGCGTGAAGTCATAAATTCGTTGGACCTATCTGTCATTTTGTTCCAGTGATGTCTTATTTCATTTGTATTGGATAATCAACCACCTGTACTCCGCGTCTCCTTGTTTCAGAATGGACAGACTCCCCTCATGGTGGCAGCAGAGCAGGGCAGTCTGGAAATAGTGCAGGAGCTCATTAAGAGAGGAGCCAACGTTAACTTGGACGATATTGTAAGTTCTCAAATGCACACGCACGTGTCATCTCTTAATAAAGAGCACAGCCCCAAACATGAGTAAACGCAATGTACGCAGAATGGAGGGACAGGTGAAAAACAGTGCGGTCATTTAAACCACATCATCCACTTGACAAAGAAGACATAACTAGTGGCCTTGATGTTCCATCTTGCTGAACTCACCACATTCGGGCTTAGCCCTCAGCTGTTATGATCCGTCATGAGCCATAATGACAGCTTATTACATACTTTTACCTTCGCTCATTTGAGTAAATGACAGGATCCACTCACTAGCCAACACCCTGCGACTTCAGATCCCAGCACACACTCACGCACGCATGCAGCCTCCTACTTCGACGCACGCATGCATTGCTCTCACACCACTTATTAACATCTCACGTAATGTAACCTATTATTACACATGGCGCACTCAAAGTCAAAGAAGAGAGAGGAAGTTTTCCATTTCGTAGTCCTGTCCGTGTCTCACACTCGCGCTCTGTGACACCTTTGTCTCTCGATGCGACACCGCGTTCCCATGAGCACCTGGTACGACCAGCTGGTAGGTGCGGTTTTCTTTTTTTTTTTTCTAACCATCCTCGAGCGTCCCATTTATTGCTCTGACAGATGCTCTGTCAACTGGATTTAGAGAATGGGAGTTCTCAAAGTAACAGGTAGTGTCTGTGTACAGGACTGCTGGACGGCGCTGATCTCGGCAGCTAAGGAGGGACACATCGAGGTGGTGAGGGACTTGCTGGAGAACAATGCTAACCTTGAGCACAGAGACATGGTGAGAATGTAGACGGTGTGAAATTTTTCCTCATTTAAAATATGTAAAGTTTGTGTTTACTATACTACAAATACAAAGGAGCAAAAATGAAATTTGGCTAGAAAACTGGTCTCCCAACATCTAGCTAGCCTTGTGGGTGAAACGTGATCCAACACCTGTTACGTATTGGCCAATAGCCTTTTGTTTTGCTTTAGCTCCTCACTAACTCCCCTTACTTTCAATCAGTGTTACCAAATAAAATCTTAAATGCATCCTAAAATGTATTTGGGGTATATTGCTGAGCTGGAACAAGCTCCAAGCACAACCAAAATGATTTAATTTACGATAATATAAAAAAAAAAGGCTAGCTAGCTTAACAACACAAAAGAAAAAGACCTCAAATCAGTCTTATGAATTTACTGAAATGGTATATATTCCTTTTATATTTATTAATGCTTTCTGTTTGATGTGACAGTTCCAGTGCTGGTTGAACAGAGTAATGCATTAGCTTGGAAATCGACCTAAAATTAAATTACTTTCTGTCTGATGGCTCCTTTCTAGTAGTAATCCCATTTACTGGGCTCTGGTTGTCTTTGCATGGGGCAGTGATATGATTTAGTTACTTCGTCAGAGGCAAAGACTCGACAGTAACCAAACTATAGAAGCTTTTTTCTGTATTAATAAGATTAAAAGCAATGCTTAGGAAATATGATCTACATGTTGTTCCTAACTGGGCTGAAATCCTGGGAGAAATGTTAAAAAACACAGTAAGGATAGTGAAAACTAACAGTCTTTATGTATCACCGTGTATCAAAGGATACATTTGCTTTCGTATTATGTACCAGACATGTACATTATAAATCCTTGGCCTCTGCAACTCCATGGCAATGAGTCAGGAGGTGGGCTGACTCATTGGCGTTCATGGTGTGTCTAAGCTGCGTAGGAGAGATCACAGTCAGTCATCACAGTGGGATTATAATAAACGACACTGTGTGATACTTCACTTACTGGGTCACGTCATCTTTAAATAGCACATTTTCCAACCACAAAATCTGTCTAGATCTGTACTAGCCTGTAAGGTCAGTACTGTTGTTTGTCTTCCTCTTTATTATAATAAAATAAACTGAATATTACATGTGTGTTGCTGTTTTCTGATCGTGTACACTTAAACTCCTCACTAGCTGAACTAGATTATCTGTGTTTTCTACTTAGGGAGGCTGGACTGCTCTCATGTGGGCAGCCTATAAAGGTCGTACAGATGTGGCCCAGCTGCTTTTGGAAAAAGGATCCAACCCTAACATCACTGGACAGGTATAAAAACTCAACACAGCATTGTTATTTGTATGTTATCTGTGTCTTCTGAAATCTTTGGGCATCTGTGATCTGATAATCTGAATAAAGACATTATTTGATTTGTTTGTTATGATTTTAAACTCTGTGTAAATGCAGGGAAATAGAGAGAAATGTCTCATTTTAAATAAGTGGTAAAAGTCAGTAAATTTGAGAATTAAAGATTAAAAAAAAGGGGTAAGCACCGCAGTGCTTTGCCTCTCCCCATCATCTGCTTTTACAGCTTGAAGCATTTGTATGACCGCGGGCTTAACACTGATCATTAGTTACTGTCAGCATGACTACACGGCTGTCCTCTGCCCCAACAGTACAGCGTCTACCCCATTATCTGGGCGGCAGGTCGAGGCCACGCAGAGATTGTCCGTCTCCTGCTGGAGCACGGAGCCAAGGTCAATTGCTCAGACAAGGTAACTACATACTGACAGATGCTCATTATTTACTTGCTTTAAATCCCACATAAGATGTGCTTTGTGGTTAGGACTCGGTCTAAAAGAACATTCTTATTCCCCAAGTGCCTTTCCTCTGTCCTGGGCCTCTTATTCGTTGCCCTTCCTTCATGATTAATCAATCTCTAGGTTGTTGATTGAATCATCTCTTGCACTCTGTCATTTTTTGTTTGTAGTATGGCACCACTCCTTTGATCTGGGCAGCCCGGAAGGGCCACTATGACTGTGTGATGCACCTCTTGGCCAATGGAGCTGATGTAGACCAGGAAGGAGCAGTAAGTAGACTGTCAGTAGCATTCAGCAGTGATGCTAATCGTTTCATATAAAAATGGGCACACTGTGTCAAAGGGAGTGTTTTCCTTTCTGTGTAAATTATTTTGATTCTGAGTCAAGCTGTACATTAGGCAGCACCTCAGCTGTAGTTCACATAACTATAAACAAGACAGTGCTGTCATTTATTTCAAGGACTACTCCACACAGATGTAAGTACTCAAGAACTTCATTTGGCATTAGTTGTGATGATGCCACTAAAGGTTTCGGCAAAGTCACTTTTATTATTAATAAAAATAGTGTTCTTAATTATTTTGTGTCTGGAATGTTTGAGTAGCAACATTATTTACTTTATTTTATTTCCACATGAACAAAACACAATCTTAACACCCCCCCCCCCAATGATTTCTGCAATGTAGTGCATCTGTGCTGCTTCAAGTCATGTTGCATGTATGCTAACACAAAGTGAATGATGCGCTTTTTTTACGTGCTACATCAGTAATCGGAAGGAACTGTCATAGCTAATGTTACAGAGCAGTTTAAAAGGCAGTGACTAAGAGACTGTGGATTTTGCAAAACCCGAGTTATTAGGCTCTTTAAGCTAGATTGTTCATTGACAGAAGGTTGTATTGTCTCTTAAAGCTCCTGAAATAAACAGGCATGCGGGAAAGGATGATCTTTACCGATAACTGCACATTTTTTGTTTGATAATAGGAATGAATAGCAAAAAGGGGTTCGAATGATGTCTAAATATGCCTCTTTCCTTGGCTTCACAGAACTCAATGACGGCTCTGATCGTAGCCGTGAAAGGCGGCTACACAGAGGTCGTCAAAGAGCTGCTGAAGAGGAACCCAAACGTTAACAAGACAGACAAAGACCACAACACAGCCCTTACCATCGCTGCCAAGGAGGGACACACAGAAATTGTGCAGGACCTGCTTGACGCCGGAACCTACGTCAATGTTCCAGACAGGGTGAGATGTTTGACAGTAGCAGCAGCAGTGGCTGATATGAAATACAATGGAAATAAAATACAACTCACTTTTCTCTGTTTGGTTTTCTCTGGTTTCTCTCTTGCAGAGTGGGGAAACAATGCTGATAGGAGCAGTTAGAGGAGGTCATGTGGAGATAGTGCGAGCTCTGTTGAACAAATATGCTGATATTGACGCCAGGGGCCAGGTAGAAGCTCCTCTCCTTCTGCCCTCTCATGTGCTCGGTGTAAAATGTCACTCTACTGATCAGTACTGTTTACTTATCCCTGTTGTTTCTCAGTAAAGTGAACTTTTCCCCATGGGTTAGAATTACAGATATTTCTTGTTGTTGTTGCATAGACCTACCTTAATGTGCATAAAAATATGCACAGTACAGCATAATATGCTGCATTCCCAGCTATGCATATTAAACCATATATTTTTTATTTTATTTGGGATTTTGTTAATGCAATTTGTTGTTGTTAGTACAAAAAAAAGCTTTTATTTTTCATCAGGATGGAAAGACTGCCCTCTACTGGGCAGTGGAGAAAGGTAATGCTACCATGGTGAGAGACATTCTGCAGTGCAACCCCGACACCGAGAGCGCCACCAAGGTATCTTTCTTGACCTTTGAACTTCTTTAATTTGATTTCTTGATTATGTTGCAATTTAAAACCTCCAGAAAATCACATTTTAAAACATGGTATTGGTATTTATATATAATTGTATTTATTTATTTATTTTTAAATGTGTGGTGTTGATTCATTGTTCTTTTTTATTTTGGCCATTATTCAGAGACAACAACAGCAAATATGTTTCCACATAAAGTTCAGAGAGGACAAATTATTATCTGGAAGGCTGTAACCTTCACTTTTACAGAGCGTTTTCTAAATAGCAACACTTTTATAACTGGATTTCACTAAACAAATGGTGAGGATAACAATAAATAAAAATAAACCTTAGATTTATACAATACTGTGCAAAAGTCACCGTTATATTTTGCTTCCAGAGGAATTCTTTCATTTTTAAAAATGTTTTCCAGGCTTTCTAAAGGTTTTTCAGAGTCTGTCTTTGTACACTGGCTGCTTTCTCACTCATTTTCAGTCCAGTCATTGTACCACAGCATTTTCAGAGGCATTGTTTTTGTTTAAGCCACTGATCTATGAGTCATTCAAGAAACCGGTCAAAAAAAGACACCTAAGTCAAGGATGAACCGGTGTTGTGTCTACACATAACACATTGTCTACACAGTGTTATGTCTACACATGAGGCAGTTTAGCAAAGCCCCAATTTTAAATTGTATCTTCAGGCATTTTCTTACAATAAGCCTACTGCAAAAAACAAAATACTTGTTCTGTTTTTTATTTTAGTTTTATCTGTATAAAATCTCAATAATAACACAGTTTACACAAACATAAAATTGTAGGTGATTCCAGAGAGCTGAAAAACTTAGCATATCTCAGGTGTGCAAAATAAAAATAAGTAAATAAATAAACAAAGAAACTGAACAAGTGGAGCATGAGGTGAACAGTAAAGTAATCTCCTAACAAATGGGAACAAATCCAGCAAGGAACAGAGAAATGCATTTGGCCTGCCCAGAGCCCGAACCTCAACATTGTTAAAGCAGTGTGGGATCATCTTAACAGAGAACAAAATAACAAGGCAGCCAACATCCAAAGAAGAGCTTTAAATGACCTTTAAGACGCCTGGAGAGCTACAGCTGAATACTACCTAAAGAAATTAAAAGTAAGCTTACACAAGAGAGTTCAGGCTGTTTTGAAGAATAATGGTGGTCACACCAAATATTTTATGCTTGTTAGAATTACGCAAACTCTTCTATACTTTATATACTCTGTATCCATATATGTTTGGACATGACTCGAGAAATCGCTACACCTATTTCAGACTTTCCAAGCAAATATTAAGAAATGAGGGGTTTCTCAAGACTGTATAATACTTTATTTCACAACTTTACCCCTCAATCTTTTTATATGTGGCCTGACCTTTGCTCTGAGTTCATGCTGCATCTCTCTGATAACAAATAACCTCAGGCATAGATTATTTTGTGCTTTGTACATTATTAGTCCCGTATTGATTTAGCCAAGCTGTGAAATTTAACAGTGTGTAATGTAATAAATAGTCTGCTGCATACGAAGGTGATGTGGTTCTGAAGTTCTGAAGGGAAATCATTGTAAAGTTAATTGAGTGATTGTGTTTGTTTGGGTTTTAGGAGGGAGAGACGCCGCTTATCAAAGCAACGAAAATGAGGAGCATAGAGATCGTGGAACTGTTACTGGATAAAGGAGCCAAGGTGTCTGCAGTGGACAAGGTACTGTTTAAAGCACGCTTGGTCTTGCTTCTGTTTTTAGATTCAGTTCTCAGCTTGGAGTGAACAGTCATTAACTGAGCTCTGTGTTTTCTCCTCTCAGAAAGGAGACACGCCTCTCCACATCGCCATTCGAGGGCGTAGCCGAAAGTTGGCCGAGCTGCTGCTGAGGAACCCGAAAGATGGCCGCCTGTTGTACCGTCCCAACAAAGCTGGAGAAACACCGTACAACATCGATTGCACCCACCAGAAAAGCATCCTGACGCAGATATTTGGAGCGAGTACGACACATTTCACATTGCAAACTAAAAAAGGAGAATTTAAGTTCAGAATTTGAGAAAAGAAGCTGTTTATTTTCTCTGAATATTTTTTCCTCCTAACTTTCTCTCAGAGCACCTGTCCCCCACTGAGTCTGATGGAGACATGTTGGGTTATGACCTGTATAGCAGCGCTTTAGCAGACATCCTTAGTGAGCCCACGATGCAGCCGCCTATCTGCGTTGGCCTATATGCTCAGTGGGGCAGTGGCAAGTCTTTCCTTCTTAAGAAGCTGGAGGGTATGTATTCTCCTGGATGAGAATAAAGTGGTACTGAGATGTGGAAAGTACTGTATATTGTTTTTTAAATGTCTTTTTTGTTTTCGCCTCTTCGTTCTTCTCTTGTTCAACAGATGAGATGAAGACATTTGCAGGCCAGCAGATAGAGCCATTGTTCCAGTTCTCATGGCTGGTAGTCTTCCTCACCCTGCTGCTCTGCGGCTCATTGGCCGTCGTTCTGGGCTTTACTGTTAATCCCAAACTGGCGATCGCGGTCTCGCTCAGCCTCCTCGCCCTGCTCTACATCTTTTTCGGTGAGGAGACAGACCGGCTTGAATACTGGGTACTGAATGATTGTGGGAAAACTCTGCTTTGTTTTGAATCACTCTGCAGTGAGTTGAGAATAAAAGGTCAGCCTGCTGTCCAAAGAGAATGTCAAGCAGAATTCTTTAACTGGAAAATATTTTGACCCCTGTTTCAGTGTGGCGTGTTTTTATGCTGTGCAAAAACATTTAATCTAAACTGTAAATCAAAGCCTTTTAATAATGAGTCAGTGACAGTGTTGTAATGAACCCCTTTTAAAAAAATTACCAGCTTAGCTACTATTAAATTTTAATTCCTTTTAGTGGACATTACGTGTAAACATTGCTACGCTAGGACTTCTAGCCAAACTTAATTTGCAGATCTTGTCCCTGGTTAGGCTTTTGGGGTCTTCTATTATCCTAATACAGAGACAATTACTAGTAGAAACATAGTCAAGCAACCACTGCAGACAGTATAGAAATATTGACTAAAGCAAAAAAAAAAAAAAAAAATAGGAACAATGAGTGAAAAATAACAATTAAGAACAAAATAAAGAGAAAAATGGATGCTTTAAAGATCCAGCTCAGTGCTTACAGATCAGCCTTTGTTTGAATCATAATTTACTAAAGCGTGAAGAAACGTCTTTCGGCTGTTTTCATATTCACAAGGGGGCGCCACAGCATGTATTTGATTTAGTAGATTTTTATCCTGCATGCTGTTTGTGACCCTCCCAGAGTTTTAAGTCTCCTCCTGGTCTTGAAGCAGGGCTTTTTTGCATGCTTGGTGAATGCTTTAATGTGTCTTAAATTCGTAAAACCTTAACAAGAAGCACAACCAATCCTACTCCATCATCATCCTGGTTACACCATACTTGACAGCATTTGAAAAATTTTGCCTGTCACATTTTTTTTTTGTCACCGAGGCTTGGTCCTGGTAAAAATCTTACTGAATTTCAGAAGCCAAACCTTTTGAGGTTTAAGAAGATAAAGTAATCACAGATATTGGTTAAATGGAGTAAGGTGGACAATGTTATTTTTTTCTTTGTTGACTGTGATATGTCTTTGCATTTAGTATTGGTGTACTTCGGAAGCCGGCGTGAGAGGGAAAGCTGGAACTGGGCATGGGTCATCAGCACCCGGCTCGCTCGTCATGTCGGTTACCTGGAGCTGCTGCTCAAACTGATGTTTGTCAACCCTCGTGAACTCCCTGAGCAGACCACCCGCGCCCTTCCTGTCAGGTGACAATGATGGACAGACACAGAACTACATCCACTCGATTTATTGTAGTCAACACATAAAATACACCTTCACAATTTTCTTGTTGTAAGTTGTAAAATGCAATGCATTTGTTAGCACAATCGACTAACTCTGTATATGTCTGCTGTACTGATGATATTAAACTAAATACTGATCTGCATTCTCTCCCTCTTTATGCAGGTTCTTGTTTACTGATTATAATCGCCTGTCTAGTGTTGGAGGAGAGACGTCAATGGCTGAAATGATTGCAACGCTGTCAGATGCCTGCGAGAGGGAGTTTGGCTTCTTAGCCACCCGGCTGTTTAGGGTTTTCAAGAGTGATGAGATCCAAGGTGATGTTACTGGCTTTTTTTACGAGTCGTGTCAGGACTCGTAAAGAAAACGTTTACTGAGACAATAAAGAATATTACATTTACAAATAATACACTATATAACTAAATGCTGTTTTTTTTTAAACGTGCTGCAGTTCAGCAAAGGATAAATAATATAAATTATGTATTTTTATTAATCAGAACTTATGTAAAATTATAATGATGGGAATTCTGTGGGAGTCTTATAAGCATTGTGGACTTTTCTTGGTGAACCACTGCACAAATTGTGATGGTGAGTCATTGTGGGCAAAAAATATGACGGAAATACAAATGAAAGAAAGCGCTCGAGAGACCAAGCGATACCTGTGTAAATAGACCTTTTAAGAAAGCTGTGCAAACAATCTCCCGACATCTGTCTCCCTCTTAGCTAGCTACATTTGGTTTGGTCATGCAGGAGTGGTTTTAACCTGCTTCAACAGCAAACAACAAATGATAAACAAAACAAACTTGCAAGTTAATGCTGAAAGTAAATGAATAGAAAGAAGGAGCAGGCTGCAGAGTAGATTCAGGACCGGAACTCCCAGTAAGCCCAGTATAAACACCGGTAGCTGCTGATGTAGCAGGAATTTTTTTAATTCATTGTTTTATTCAACTTAAAAAGTCTTTATATCCTTCTTGATGTATTTTTAGCATGTGAAGGTTTGTTGTGCCCTCTGTGCATCTGTGTAATATTACTGTCTCCTTTCTGTGAACCCCTTAGGTCAAAAATGGAAGAAAACATGTTGTGTTCCCTCATTTGTACTCTTTGCATTGACGCTAGGGTGCTTGATCACTGGTGTGGCACTGTTGTCTATTTTTAAGGTAGGTTTTTTTAGTTCTCTGAAAAAAATACTGTGTAGGTGTATTTTGTTTATGCTGGTCTGAAATAGCCTTACAAGAAGAGAGCCTACCCAGTATGTGTCAGAGTTTCAGTCCTACTTTTTATCTTTTGGTTCCTCAGGTGGACCCTAGGAATCTGACAGTAAATGCAGTGCTGATTGCGATGGCTAGCATGGTTGGCCTGGCCCTGCTGCTCAACTGTAAGACCTGGTGGCAGGTGGCTGACTCTGTCCTCAACTCCCAGAGGAAACGCCTGCACAGTGCTGCCAACAACTTGCATAGACTCAAGAGTGAAGGGTTTATGAAGGTAATTTAGTAATTGTACATAATCAAGAGAAAATGGAAATCCTCTGACATCCTGTTGCCATGACAGTGGGGCATTCAGTTTGCTTATGAAATTATGAAGTTGTGCTTTCTAATTCAATTGATTTCCTTTAGTTCATAGAAAATGAATTGGCTTTGATTTGTTTTGGGTTTTTTTATGTCTCACAGGTTCTGAAACATGAAGTGGAGCTGATGTCAAAAATGGCCAAAACTATCGATGGCTTTACCCAGAACCAGACACGCATGGCGGTTATCATTGATGGGCTAGATGCTTGCGAGCAGGACAAAGTGCTGCAGATGCTGGACACGGTGCGTGTTTTCATGTGCGTCAGTACAGGCAGATTAACAATTAGAGCAGCTTCCTCTTGACTGAAAACAAGATAATGGAATAATTAGATTTTTTTGACATCTGCCGCTCAAGAAAATGTATTACTATGAGCCAGAGTGTTTTAGAGCATCTGCCATGTGGTTTAAACACAAAGTGGGTCTTTCACCTGTGCACACAGAGACCACACATCTCTGTTGCACTGCAGCCACCTTGGTGTTCCCAGCTGCCTCAGCTTGCCTCCAAGTTTAGATTCTTTTTCCCAGCTGCTCTAATATAATTTCCTTTAGCCAAATGTTATTATTTGGTGAAGTAATCCCAGGGAAGACGGCAGCCTCCTGTGTGCTAATGCAATCTTCTCATCTCTGCAAGCATGTCCCAGTCACTCCATAACCTTTTTCTTTTGAGAGAGACTCAAACAACACATTTGTCAATTAACTAAATGTAATTTTTTTTCTCTCAGTCTGTGTACTTTTGCTAACAGATCATGTGCATTAAAGATGCAGACATCATGTGAAAACATTTTCACTTGATTCTGCTGACAGCTGCTTTTGGACAGGAGGTTCATCGTCCTGCAGGCGAGCCTTAGGGTTGTTGGCTACGGGTTAACAAACCAGCACTGCATCTAGCACAAATTGATGTCCTGTGACACTTGGACAATGTCTCTTAGTTAGTCGAGTGGAATTCCCCAGCACCATGTGCTGTGGACAGTCAGCTCTCACAGGAGTCATTATGTTTAAGTACTACAGCTGACTGACTACCTCGAGGTGTCGCGTCATGGAGTGATTAGATTGTAAACATATATTTAATGCAACTGAAAGATACTGAAAAACTTTCTTATGGTGTTTCTTTTTCTTTCCAGGTAAGGGTCCTCTTTTCTAAAGGCCCTTTTATCTCCATTTTTGCCAGTGACCCCCATATTATCATCAAAGCTATCAACCAAAACCTCAACAGTGTGCTAAGAGACTCAAACATCAATGGACACGACTACATGAGAAACATTGTCCACTTGCCCGTGTTCCTCAACAGCAGAGGATTTAACACAGCTAAAAAGATGAGCATGGCAGCACCCACCAACGGGGAGCCACTGTCTGGTGAAGGTACACGACAAAGGCTACACGTCTTCCTTTTAAAGTGCTTTTATTTTTTTCTTTACTGTCGTCTTTTAGTGTGTTATATAGCTTTTTGTGTGTGAAAAAGTCTGCAAAGTTACACCCAAAGTTTTCTACAAAGGGAGTTAATCTCTCCCACAATAGAGTGCTGCTACTGAACAGTTTAAAGCACCTCATTTGTAGGTCAAGTGTTACTTCCCCCACATCTATGTCACAATAAAACAAACATTTCCACTCAGCAGCTAGTTTGACACACCATTTTTACTTAATTGTTGAAGCCACTCATGCTAACTCTAAAATGTCTCACCAAGTGCAAACACACTAAGTCTTCTGTTACTGGTTGCAAGAGCAAAAACAATGTGCACTTCCCCCATGTGAGGAACCCAATAACCAATTGATTACTTTTGGCAGTGTCCCCATAACAATGTTAGCACATTGTGGGGCTAATTTCATAAGCCAGAGCAATAGTATATTGGAATTGTCACACTGAGGCATCAAAATTTGTAAGCTTTTGTAGATGTGAATGCTTTTTTGTTAGCAATTCCCTCATAGTACATTTGTAGAAAAATATACCGACGGGCACTGTTCTTGATCCTGTTATTTTAAAGAAAGCAATCTAGATTCGCAAATGTCTTTAATGGGTTGTTTGCTCATGATCATCTCTGCACCAAGGTTATGCTTTATGTAAGGTAGCAACTTCTGCAAGACTTTTTTTGTTCTGGATCATATTCTTGGCTACACCCCAGGATTTTGTTAGCCATTAGCTGGTGGTGGTCAGAGGGCCCGGTGGCGCCAGTGTCCGGCAGCCTCGCCTCTGTCAGTGCGCCCCAGGGTGGCTGTGGCTACAATGTAGCTGCCATCACCAGTGTGTGAATGTGTGTGTGATGGGTGGATGACTGGATGTGTAAAGCGCTTTGGGGTCCTTAGGGACTAGTAAAGCGCTATACAAATGCAGGGCATTTACCATTTAGCTCTAAGAAGGCAGCTCCTCCTCATAGAACTACGCTAATTAGCCAACGCTCCAGGCAAGCTGACCCATCTAGAGTAGATTGGAATTTTTGTAAGTGGGGTCTTAAATAGGCAGCAGCTGAAATGATACGTTTCAGTGAGATAATAAAAAGTGGTCCTGTATAGTAAAAGGAAAACCATGACCCACCCTTCTAGTTGACCCACAAATTAAAGTTATAAACTTGTAACTGGGCATAATATGGTCACTTTAATATATACAAGTAGGTTTACACAGAGCTTTGAGGCATTTTATAAACTCATAGTTTCATAAACTGTTTTACATCTAATACTTGGTGATGCCTGATCGTCTCTGTTGACACTTTGACTCTTCCTCTTCATCCCTTTCTCTAGGATGGCATGAAGACACGGACAAGAAGATGTCTCAAAGCAGCCTGGCTCAAGACCAGGCCAAACTTGGCAGCAAGAACGCCTTAAACCGCAGGGTAACAGCTATTCAAGTCAAGTTTGTAAAAAAAAAAGTATTACATGTAATATTTTGGTGGGATTTACAAACACACATCAGTGGTTGATTTCCTAACTTTAGGTTTGTAAGTTAAGAAGACGAGGAAGAGCCGTGGTAGTTCAAAACAGATTGTTAATAAAAAGAAAAATCAAATAAAAAAACTCCAAAGTGTCATTAGTCCAAATTCTACTTTAAGCAGGGAGTGTTCACTGCTTGCACCAGCCTGTAATACCCAAATCAAAAAGGCTGCAATAGCACATTGAAGAAGCTTTGGACACAATATGAAAGCAGGCAGGTTTTTTTTTTTTGTTTCAATAATTTCCCCAAAACCCACGCTGTTTAGGAAAGTACTTAATATTCACGTTTGATTTCTACATATTAATCAAACAAAATGAAAAAGCTGCCAGTTCACTGCTCTTTGACCAGAAAACATTGGCTTCGTGTGAGATATTCTGGCTGAGAAACCTTCACTGCTATCTCTCTTCAGCCTCCTCCCTGAAGGAGGGAGGAGGAGGGGTTCAGTACAGGCGTGGTGTTGGCAGGTGGTGCAGAGGCCAGAGGACAGAAGGAGACACACAGAGACAAAAAGAGAGAGGTGCTCGGTGTGCGGCCAAGGTTCCTGGTGTAATTGATGTAATGGCTGTTTATCCTTCCTGCTGCGTTGCCACAGCCTAATGACAAGGCCTAGCAGCAGTGGGTCCCTGTGACAAAACACTGGCACCAGGTCTGCTGGCAGGAGGCTAAGTGACTCTGCTGCTGTCGCTGATGCCTTCCACCCTCCTATGAGACCTTCCCCCCAATCCCCCCTTTCCTTCCCACTTTCCTTTCTTGTTTGTTTGTTTGTTTGACATTTGGTTGTACCTTGGGTTTACCCAGCATCCTCCATTATTGATGTTGGCCCCTTTAATACAGGGCAGCATTCTCTTTTTATATGCCGCTAGCTAGCACTTGGCAGGAGGGCCCTATTTCTAGAAGTGGAGATTAAAATGAGGGGGCAGGAGGGCAAATTGACTATGAGCTCTCTCCACACTGAAATTCTGTGACTTCTTGAATTAAGTGTGATGCTGTAAATATCTCTGTAGTATTTTGACATTTATTGGATTGAAACTAATTGCTGCTTAGTATTTCTTAGCACTTCAAGGAATCATCAAAATAAACCATTGACGCTGTGAAGCTAGAGCAAAAGTTAATAAATACCAAAAAGCTAGCCCCAAAGAGGTGTCTCTATGATAGACCTTTTTGGTTCAGACTGAGCGGTGGCCATATGTTTCATCTCTCTGAGAAAGAGGTCATGAGACTGGTGTTACAACTTCAAAGTCAACCAAAAGGCTTGTCTTGGCTCATGACCATTGCAGCTGTCTGAAATCATCACAGATGTTCTCCGGTAGATCTGTGTCAATAGCTTGCCTGTGTGTCATGACTTTTCAGTGTTGGACAGCGGCTCTTTGATTTCTTCTGTGCAGTCACAGAGATTTAGTGCTGTGTATGTCATGGCCATTAAGAGATTGGTTATATGGAAGGAAAGAAACCCATGTACATCTCTTTTACAGGGCTTATCGGTATAAACCTTAACTGGATTATGTTGAGAGTAAGGTAGTGTTTGCTGTTAAAAATTATTGTGGTGCTGCTGATACTTTAAAATAAAATCTCTCTCTCAAATATGGGGTATGTGGAATAATATAGAAATGATCCCATCTAGATGTAGTCGTAGTCTAATGAAGCAAAGGTTCTTAAAATGGTCTTAGATCACATGGTGACCATGAAACCTCTCCTCTGGTCTCATGATGCACATAGCGGGACAGTAAGGGTGCGTTCTCACAAACATCAGTCAGGGTCCACAATAACTGCTGCTGTTTCAGTTTAGAAGTCTAACATTAAACAGGAAAAATTTATGGCTCTCTATGGTTCCTTTGCTGTATTTCTTTTCCATGTGTGGCTAGAATACACTTCCTGTTTTCCTGGTCCCTTTATTATATACTGTGAACCAGTGGTGTCAAATATAAGGCACGTGGGCCAAAGTCGGTCCGGCAAAGACTCCAATCTGGCTCATTAAACAGCTTTAGAAAATGTGAATGTGGGCACAGATTTTAAACTTTTAACTGTATTTATGAAGACTTTTTATAAATATAGAACCTTAGAAGAACCTTTCCTGTAATTTTATGCATTTATTATGTAGTTTCACCGGTTCTGTCCACTTAAGATCAAAGTGTGGCCCACGATATAAAATGAGTTGGACGTCCCTGGTGTAAAGTGTTTTTTGGCGATCCATTATGTAACTTATTCTGAAGTAAAATGCAGCATGTACCATCTCCAGCCTCATGCTAACGAGTGTTTGTCTGCTAAGGACACATACCGACGGCGCCAGATGCAGAGGACCCTCACCAGACAGATGTCCTTCGACCTGACCAAGCTGCTGGTGACCGAGGACTGGTTCTGTGACATCAGCCCACAGACCATGAGGAGGCTGCTCAACATTGTTTCTATTACAGGTGAGGAATTAACCATGATCTGCTTGAGAACTGTACATATTATTACAGTAATAAAGCCTTTTTTTTTTTTTACATCAACATCCGCGCTTCAAGAGTTCTGTTTTAATGAAGAGTACATTTTGCTTGTAAGCTTAAACAGTCATTTTAATTTAACCACAAAGGCTTGGCAGACTTAGGATTTAGAGGTTATAAATATATTATAATAAATTACACAAGGGGTACAGTAATAGAACAGAGTAGAAGATTAAAAACAGTTGGCACTACCACTGACAGTTTGTTTTTAAGCAAGTTGGCACAACAAGCCCCTATAGCTGATTAGTGCTTGTGAGCAAAACCATTATATGTTATACAAGTCAATGATGCAGCCAAAAGAAAATGTTTGTTATTAAGCAGATTGGAAGTGACTTCTGTGGCCCCTAATCCTCTGATTCGTTGTTGGCAGGTCGTCTGTTACGCGCCAATCACATCATCTTCAACTGGGATCGACTGGCGTCATGGATAAACCTGACAGAAGAGTGGCCTTACAGGACATCATGGATCATCCTGTACTTGGAAGAGGCTGATGGGATGTCTGATCAGGTTACTCTCAAGACCATCTATGAGAGGTATACACACACAGAAACATCATCTTTTGATTAGTTACTGATCTGATTTATTGACTTTCTTGCCTTTCTTTCCCGGGTTGTTTTATTGCCTTTTATTCATTCTCTTTCTAACTTGAGGGCAGCACTAGCAGACTGATCATCAACTAAATTATCTAAGTGAAAATTAGGTGATGGATGTATTTGGATGAGTAAAATTCCACATCTTCAAGCCGGAATAAAGATCCTGAGATGTCAGCTAAGAATTTGCTTTTATTGCTCTGTGTTTAAGTAACCCTAACCAGCAGGTGGCAGTAGAGGATTTTGTTTTCCATGCAGGCTAGATAATCTGTACACATGTAGTGCCAAAGGCTGTGCCACACTAATTGGCAACTGTCAGACAGATTTTGTAATTGACCATAATGTTCAAGGCGAATGATGACTGAGTTATTGCCCGGATTCGAGATTCACAAAGGGACACTAATTCTTTAAAGTCTACAAGAGGAGCAGTAAAGTCTTGTCCCTGTGTGTGTATACTGTGAGGTCATGAATGCTTTTAGGCGTGCTCACCGCAGACGAGAGGAGGAGACCGATAGAGGCTGAGTCGCTGGGTTTGGGCGCTGTTGTGCATCAATCGCTGGCCTTTAAAGGTTGCACTCTGTCACAATACACTAGCGCCCACGACTCCTGCGGCAGGGAAGTGTCACAGACGGTTATTGTCAGCTATTCAGCCAGCTAGATTCAGCCGACAACTCTCCATCCCCCATCTCCAAACACAAACCACTACCTCATTAGACTGGATTTTTGCTCTATGGTTTTTTAAAGGACAAAAGTTATTACCTTTTTCCATATGGCACTACAGAATGCAGATTTTTAAATGTCTCGTTTCTCTCTGCATTTTATGGGAAAAAATATCACTACATTTCCTCCTGTGTATGTTTACTCTACTCGCATTCACTGGAGACCCTAAAAGAAACGTTCTTACTTTTGCTGTAATTATTGTGGAAAATAAGAGAGCCATAAAAACTGATGTTTCTACTTCTAACAAAAGGCCTGGATTCAAGTCTCCTTACCGCAGCATGGGGTTGTACTTAGACTACTCATTAGACCTAATATAGCCATCATCTTGCTTTTGACCAACGGCCCTGTCTTTCTTTATCTTCCTCCTCGCTGAGTGTCTTTCCAAATGGCTGCTCTGTTCCGCAGTGGCCGTCGAAGAAGCTGGCTTAATGATGATGACAGGAAGCCTCGAACAGGCTAAACACAACGCCTTGCCTAGAGGCCTTATCTCCTACACCAATCTTCCGCTGATAAGACTCAGGCCTCTGTCTGTCTGTCTTTTTCTGTCTCTGCTCTTTTCTTCCTCTTTCATATGATCTGAGGCTCTTTAGGCCCTTTTTTTTGTTCTGGATGAGTTATTCTGTCTCATTCCCTTTAACGACGGATGGGCACTTGACTGACCTCTAAGAACCTCGGGGTCTCGAGGATTGCCTGCCTGTTTGAGAAGTGGATAGCTTCTTTTATTTGCTTTTCTTTTCAGAGCGTTAAAAAATACACACATCCACCCACGTCTCGTTTCACAGCTTCACTTTGACCAGTTTGATAATTTCCTTTTTTTATACTTAGCATCCTTTTGCTCATGTGGTTCAGATCTCATCTATTCTTTGTTGCGTTTTATTTTGCAAACATGTGTGCGAGTTGTCATGCACAGCCTTTTTTACACAGCAAAACTGCACATCCCCTGAGCGTTACTAAGTGAATATATTAGTGGTGAAGTGAACGTGGGGGGTGAGTCAGCCCCTTATAGGTCAACTGTCGCCCTGCATCTCAGTCACAAGGCAGCAGCTCTTCCTCTTCTCTGCCCTCTCTTTGTAAAAGTGTCTACAGCTAAGTATACCACAGCATCAAAAATAAACTTATTGTTAACCATAAGACTGAAAACAGTGCAGCTGTGGTTGCAATTAAATATTTTTTTCTGTTTCCATCTTCATAAGTACAAACGTGCTTTAAATGGGGCTAACCACCATTAGTTGGTCTCGGTTCAGATTGCATGCCCCATACATTAAAACTAAATTAACTCTCACACTGTAAATTATTATGGAATACACACAGGCCTTTCAGTGAAGGGGGTGAGCTGAACTCTTAAGAAATAATAAACAGAAATGCTTACCCACCTTCTCTCCTATCTCACACAAACAGACAGGATTTCGAAACAGCTAAATGTTTTTCACTAACTTGCTTTGCATTGACAAGCATCAACGAAGGGCTGTGAACTGTCATTTTAGGACGTGGCGTGCAGAGAAAAGCTCACTTCTGATTCCCGTTGCAGGAACAGGCTAGTACAGCCGTCTTAATCTGATGGAGAATGCGTAATCGGTTAATAACTTCAGCGATTTCTATCGTTAATGCTAAGACTGAGGGCCGCCCAGGCTCATGCACGGTAGCTGAGGGAAAGAGGTGTGTGAGGAACAAAGACGGCACTGTCTGAAGGAGATACTGGTCCAAAGCAGTCAAGCTTTTACTCGAAGCATAGGTAAAATGTTTGTGTCACTACTTTCACAGGGGAAATTGCAAAAAACAAGTGAGGCAGCATTGTGGTGTGTCCAGTACACTGACAGAACCTGAGAAGAAAACAAAAAATCAGATGCTTTAGACCAGCATCTGCAAGTCTTCAATTTGTAGTTGTCAAATTAACAAACCCAAATCTTTCTTTTGAGTTTTTTCTTTCCATTAGTAAATTGGATCTGGAGCCTGCAGCATTATGACTATCATTTTCGGTTACATCATTACTTCCTCTTCGTTATTGTCTCTTCGCAGGAGTTGTTTCTTAGCTGCCATTAGAAACCTGATGATTATAGCTACCCTGGCCCTCTCCTGCTTTGCGGTTATTGCTGTATATTTATTTCCTTGAGCTTTTTCAGCATCATTATATTACATTTTGCCATTTAATGGAAATTCATTTGTAGAGTGAATTTAAATGTCTGAACAAGTAGTTTTAGGATGTTGAATACACATCTGTTATTATTGTTGTGAACGGTTGGTACTAGTCTCCATGGGGGTTTGTATTTGTGAATAAAAAGCAAAAAAAAAATTAAAATAAGTGATCAGAATATATTTTCTAAACTTAACTACAGTTGTGTCCTTTTTTCTGTTCTTTGTCATTAGTTGAAGATTAAAAGCAGTGGATAGGCATTAAGGACATGGTGTTCAGCAATTAATTATGCAGAATTAGTCAATAATCAGCAAAAAAATGAAATGTCTAAATGACGAAATAAAAACCAAACCAGCAAAGTTAGCAAATAATTTGCTTTATAGTGTAGCAGTATGGCTGACGGAAGGTAGGTATTAGCAAAGAGAAAAACCCAAAGAAGAACGAGAAAGGACAAGCAATGAAGACACGAGGAGTGTAAATAGTGAGTGGATGAGTCAGTTGGCAAAAATATGTGATAAGTTGCTATTTTTTAGTGGAAAAAATTAAATATTGCTTCCAGGCATTCAAGTAGCTAGAACCAGAACCAAAGGAGTTCCTGCTTTCTTTGGTTTTTGAAACACTGAATATCTTCGGGTTTGGATGTGATTTAAATATGCTAACTGCAGGATCTTCAGGGACTTTCAAATGACTTGTACTTGTTTTTTGATAATTTGTTTCACAGTGAAGTAATTTTGGATGTAGGGTTAACATACTTGGATCTAATCGTCTGTGAGGGCGGGTTCAGTCGGGTCCTAAGAGAGTTTATTCCTGGACGCCCAGATTCAGTTTTCAGCTCTAGAAAAAGAAAAAGAAAAAAGTGTCACTGGTCCACTGAGCAGGTTCCTGCGCTGCTCTGACATCTGGTACCCTGTGTGTGCCAGGATGCCCCTGCTGCACTCAGGAGTGTGTTTCTGGCGTTGCACCTGAATCTTCTGTTCATTACACACCCACTCATATATATACACACAAACTATTGCATGCCATGGACTTATAGACACTCTCTCACACACACACTCAGGTGTTGTCATCCGTGCATGTTTCAACTGAAACTCATTTGCCACTACAAGTTTTTGCAATTTACACAGGTGCACACATGAAATCACATACAAATCTTATGCATGCAGTTGATAGAAAACTCACAAAAATTCACACACACTAGCTAGCTCTCACACCAGTGCAAGAACATATGTCACCCCCAACTCCTCTGAGGATCGGTGTAATTAATCAGACCCTGAGATGCAGGCTGTGTTCAACAAACATGCGTACTCACACACATTCACACAGTGCAGGAAGCAGAACACAGCAGAGAAATTGTTGTCAGGTGAATTTGTATTTAGAAACACAGTGACACTATGTTTTGTAGTATTGTGAGCAAAAAAAAAATTCCCACTTTCTGTGCCCTCTGTGCTTTTAATCACCAGGTCACGGCTTGTGAATAACGAACCGTTTCTCTCATCCTTTCATCTTCTTTTCACCTCCGATTTGTTGGCTTGACCCAGCGTTCAAACGCTAAACAATCACCCTTTCAGTGATGTACAGCCAGCCACTCGATGGACACTTAAAAACTTTTTTTTTCCACTAATCACAGTCTGAATGAATATGCAGCCCACCAATTCACTCTTAATTAGGGAGACTCTTATCCCAAGTACTGAAACATTAAGATGACACTCTCTTCATTCGGGATTACTTTAATTGGCACAATTATTGTAATTTGGTTGCAATTATGTGCAGGGATAAAAGCGCCATTCCAAAGCTCACGCTGGTGATTCCCTTTATGCGGAGTTCTTTTAATAAGCTCTTAAAAATCTGGACTCAAAAAATGGCGAGACCCTGTTCTTTTGTTATAATGAACACTTCTGAACTTTTCCTGCCCTCAAATGAAGAAAAAACAGTCTTTATTCTTCACCATACAGCCCATTCATATGGAGTTCTGTCGCATTTGCAACACATTCTATAATCTAGCTGCACGACAAATGCACAAAATGGTTTTCTTCCCTCTCTCTGTCCTCTGAGAGAGCCCATTGTCCCTGTACCCAGGAGGTATTTCAGTGAA